GTTCTGCGATCACATTACTTCTGGTACAGGTCTGAAACCGTGGACTAGTGAAAACGCATGCTGCAGGAAATAAACGAACAGCAGAAAGGCGATTTTGCGACTTAACACATCTGATTTTGTACACGTTGTTTCAACCGTAGCCGCTTTGTTGGTTCGAGACTGAAGGCATCCAGCACACCCTACATTAGAAACTTTACTGTCAATGTTTTTTGTTACCACGCTATTGCACGAGAATGTCGGCGTGCTGAACTTCGTCAATAACCGTGCACGTCTCTGTGTCTTACCGAAGCCGCCTCTGGGTGTCTGGGAAACTCTGATGTAGTTTGGCGTCCTTAGTTTCTGAAAATAACGTCTTATGCACAGTTGATATACAAATCTGACATACATTTGACGGGATTTTCCGTTTTCAGATTCTGAACGTTGCAAAAGACATTGTTTTTCTGTTCTCTCATCAATATAATTTATTAAGCATTTTTTAAACCTTAAAATAGGCTTGTACGTGATTCGTCATCACCATTTCAGGAGTTAGCCAAATTAATGAATCATTTCATCATGCTGTATTTGAGCATCACTGCACACTGCAATTAGTACAGACTCCTTCAAGAAAATCGCCCTACAAATTTTGTTGCTGCGCTAAAAAGTAGGCAGTCGAAAGCAGAAAAACACATTATGAACTAGTAGCAGCAAAGGATAGACGGCATGTACCACTTGATGTTAATTCACGTGTTGTTTAACAAAAACTATGCTGCAAATATTGTCCGTTTCCCTGCAGCTGCGTTCCTAGGAGACCGTTATTGAGGTTAACAATATTTTAGAGAAATCGCTGGTTATCGGCAATTTAAACATATGAAACACATTTTAAGTACTGCAAAGTGCAACAGTAACAAGAAGAAAAATTGTTCAGGAAAAATATTGTAATATAGCATATAGTGGCAGTGAAGGAAATGCAGAAGGACCTATTTGATTTAGTTCTGAATCCAAAATCATGGCGATATCGATGACCTGCATCACTTAAGACAAATGTGGCTATGGGACTGAAATCGCATACGGCAAAATTGGTTTATATGTTAAAGTTATCAATCGACTGAGATATAATGAAACCGATTTCAGTGGCTGTAGATTATTGCCAATGAGCAGGTGATATAAGACTAATAAACAAACTTCTGCAAGCGAAATCAAACTCTTTATTTAAATTTCAGAGAACTCGCGCCACTGTGTATGACAAAGCATATGAACATCAATACAGACGCATTCAGTTTCCATCTGTCAACTGAGATGAATGAAAAGCAAACGTAAAAAACACTCATTGATCCATGTCAGGTGTACAATGCATCATAAGTCTGGTTTCATATACCAGAATGTATTAATAAGCGCATAACACCAAAAGTCTACATTTTACGTATGTCATCGCCAGTGGATTTAGAATTCTAAGGTTTCATTTAAAGAGTTCGTGACTGCTTGGTTTTTGAGCAGTTGCATAACTAATTGCATCTCACATCATTTTATTAGGCGTTCTTGCTGCATTGTGTTGCATGTGCACCTAATGTGAATAACGGATTTCACGTCGTACTGAAGCAGTCATTCCGTGGA